ATAAACCCTGGTGCAGTGTTTCATCATTTTTGAAATTGCCATGCCATCTCGTTATACCGTTTACCTGATAACGATCTTACTAAACATTTAACAAATATCTGAAAAGTTAGTTTTTTAATAAAGTCGTTTGACCTGGCAATTTATTCATATGTAAGCCCATGGAACTGAAAGACACCTTTTGTAGGGCACTCGTTCTACACAAGATTCATTTGCATGCATATCGGTATTTTATGACTAATTTTTGCAACAGTTTTCTAGTAATGTAATTTTTTGGCTCATCGAATTTAACGTTCCAGAGTGTTCTTACCTTGAGGTATAACGGTGGCATTATAATATAAGATTAAAAAGGCAAAAGAAAGTGTTAAGACCGCCGAGAGGCTGGCTGCAATTAGAACAAAGGAAGGGTCCACCACAATATTGTAATATTGCAAGCGCAAGTTACCATCACGTATTCATGATGGTGAGCCCAATGAAATTAGTGACGATCTGAAGCCCTTTTGAAATGTAACATCATCAAGTGAAGTGGCAACTTTGTAATATTGAACTACTGTTACTTTTCTTATGGGTTATTCGAAGAGTCTTTATCTTGAAGCGATTTCCTGTCAGTTCAATGAATGGCAAGACTTTGTGATGGGCAATGGGAGGGGGCGTGGCGAAGTCTGTTAATAGGTAGCTTTGTAGGTTTGAGTCAAATTTCAAACGCAGAACGCGGCGTGAATTTTCTCTTATTAACTGTTAATTCCTTTGAGCAAGGAATTCACCCCACTGTGCTTCGGTGCAACTAACCGCAAAAAAAGACAGCAGAACCTTGACCTGCAAATAATTGGGACAACGTTGCGCTTCAATGTGGTCATGAGTTATGACAAAACGTGATAAACACGTGGCCATGATGTCTGACGTATGAGCTTTACGACTGCAATTTACCTACACTCACCTGCTAGCTGATGAAAAATCAGCACAAGCTGCAAGCTGCATTTTTTCTAGGCTACATGATCATGTGATGCTGCTAAGCCAGCCATGAGATTTGTCTTTTGTTTTCTCTGCGTACTTTACTACTGTTCATTTACAGCTGTTTATAAAGCATAATTCATTATATGGAATCAAGAAATTCCTCTGGCAACGAACAAAGCAAATAACAGACACACTTCAGCAAGTAGGTGCTAAAATGCAAGAACCCGTGAAGTTTAAATTGAGCCCGGAACATCATTGGGAATGAGCACAGTAGAATAAAAACGAGTTTCCTGATTTTCACTTGGTTAAAGCATCATAGTTATAAATCTGTTGTTTAATTTCCGCTGTTTTTATTTATGCCAAAAAGCAAAATAACTTTTACGTTTTCTTTCGTCTGTCTTACCGCAGAAGAAATTACCCAAAATTTCCACTAAAGCACCTTTGAAAAGTTCGAAAATTAAAACTCGCACCATGTTTGGTTGAAACGGCTTTCGACGGCTGCTGAGATCGACGGTAAGCCAACCGCAGTGGATTTGCTCGTGAAAATCGACAGAGTAGACAGCGTAAAAGATGGCCATTATCGCGTCGTATTGTGGATCAGGTCGGAGGTCACCGCGAGTCTTCGCATGCAATTCCATGCTCATCACATGCAAATGAAGGCACTGCAAATAAGCAGAATAAAACAGTATATGCTAAATAACTGAACAAAAAATCATTACTGAAAATATATTTACGCTTAAACGTTTCATTATTGAATAATGATTTTCATTTTTTGCTTTGACACTTACTGTTTCACTACTATTAAGTTTGGAGTCGTACTTGTAAATCTGATGGTTATGGGAAACGAAGAAACGAAGCTCCACGAAGTTCCAACAATTCGAATTCTTGCGTTAACTAACTGCTCAGCAGCTACGGTAAGCGATTCCTGTTGCGTGCGGTAAGAAAAACTGATATGTTAGAGGGCCTTGGTGTAACACACCCAGAATGAATCACGAACCGGTGTTTATTTAATTATATAGTTTGAGAAAACTCATCAAATCAAA